AACCACCTTTTGCAAGGCATCCATTGAAGCACGTGCGGGTCCTCAGTTCATCAGATGCTCCACCCTGGGGAACATGTAGCATATGTGACGGGTCGGAGCGGAGCGGCTTTGTGATGTGACTGGTCGGAAGGCAATCGAAGTGGAAAACGCGATGCCTGGAACACGCCTCGTTCCTTTACAGACGCCACAGAATGGGTTTGTCCACTTCAAAGATTTGCTGCGGTGAAAAGAAACTACTACCTTGTAAGTGATAGGTAGAGCATGGTAGAGCTATATATGATGGTCCCTTAATTAATGTATACACAAACCCAGTCAATAACATAATATTGCATATTATTGCATGATATTCCTGGTTTTTGTCAGAGTGTAAAACCTGTCCTAATTGTTCAGTAGTAACTACTTGTACAGAAGCTGCGATATTCATCGCCTCATCTTACTGGTCCAACCTCACAACCTCAACAGTTTAAACACCTTGCCCCAGAAACCCTTGTTACTGTTGATTTTGTTCATATTGTGTTCCACTGTGACAGAGGTTCTCCAAGCACTCTTTTCAGAGGGTTTTGCACAGGTTTGATCACAATTCCTCTTGTTTTCGTTTCATCCGTTTCATTTGTGAAAGACCACGGCTTTGTATGATCCTCTCGGAGTTCTCTGAAAATCCCTGGATCAATGAGATTCACCAGTGACCGATCTGAATAGCCGAGGCCGTGCGGCTTGTCGCTGGGATGAACTCATCAACAGATGTTTGTTGCTTGAGGATATCGAGGAGTGACCTGAGAAACTGACGCTTCTGGTGCTTGGACTCCTTTGGACAAGGAGGGAAGTATTTGGTAGAGTATGTTCTATTGCAGTTGCCTGAGTCTGCTTGGTCTGGTGGAGTATGGCCATCATGCATCGAGTTGGTTTGGTGCGGTATGGTGCATTGCCAGTCCGGAGTTCCTAGAGCTGCGCAGGGTCTGCGAAAAGGTCCAATGTTGTGGAGGGATGTTGTTGAATTGCCCTGTTCAACCCTTGCAACATGAGAGGGGAAGTGAGGATGGTAGCTTTTTGGATGAGCAACGGCCCACTGGAGCTGTGCAAACTCCAGCGGCTTAGCGCCAGATCATGCAAAGAAGGTTCAGGCCTCGCAGGCTTGCTGTGTGGAGTGGATTAGGCTCTTAACCACGAGAAATAAACCATGTTTCATTTCTTGTGATACCACGTGAAATCAGCTTTTGAACTCCAGCAACTCCATAGCGTGTTTATGCGTTTTTGTTGCTCAGAGTTTGATGCGAGCTTCTTTGTAGGTGATCATCCTGGGTGTGGGTGGAAAGGAGTTTCAGAATGTTTCAGACAAAGATATTCATATTGATTCATGTTTATTATATATGACAATTCAATCTTTAAGTTATATATATATATACTAGTTATATTCGTTGACGGTGTCATCATTAGTAACTTGATGTAGTTTGATTTGAATATGAATGTTTTGGAGCTTTGTTCACACCATGAACATGAGTTCACATAGGTTCACCCTTTGTGAGTGGGCGCATGTTTGCAGAGATGGTAGATTCTGGCCCACCCACACTTTTCTTGGCATCCAACCACCCAATGGAAGAGGAGAGACTCACCCTTTTGAGCACTTTCGGTCCGATGATGTATGTGGAATCCCGATATTCCTAGACTCCTAGACTGAAACCCATCCGAGTCACCAGGAGAGTCTTCTCCCGACCATCCTCGAGACATCAACCTATTGGACTTGGGGCCCTTTGCGATGGCTCGGCGGCACGGCTCTCCGCACCAGTTGTGCACAGTTCGGTTCAGGGGCCCTGCAAACTGGCAGACTGGTTGAGCAGCACCTCTCAAATTGACACTGTTCTCTTGAGGTTTTTTTCATGGTTGGGGCATCCATCATCCATCATCCTCGCCGTTTGGCCACTCCATTTTGGTGTTTCCATCCTTTTTTTGCTTTGAACACGTCATGTACCCCAAGTAGTTGGCATCAAGACAATCAACAATCAACCCACGTAGAGAGAGAGAGAGAGAGAGAAACAGATGGGTGAGAATATCCACTGGTCATGTGTGGTTGCAACTGAGGCTATGCCAGCTGCCGTGCATCCGCACTGTTTGGCACAAACTGGTCGTTTTTTGGTTGTCAATCCTCAGGCCAGGTAGCGCAGCTTGCCGTTTCCCAGGGTGGGCCTTGTTCTGGGTCAGAATCACCAGGTCTATTGCCGGGGGTTAAAAAGCTAATCATGTTGGGTGACTCTTCCACTGTGGACCACTACGTGCTTCATTGACTTCGATGCCTTCTTCGTTTTCATGTCCGGGCACTCAGATCTGGATTTCAGCACTTGCATGCGATTGAATGTCAGATTGGGCTGTGAACCGTTTTGACAAACTGCTGGCTCAAACAATGTCCAGAGTCTAAAATGGAGCGATGGAAGGAAATCAACTGGAACAGCTGGACTACCCCTCTCTTCGTTTTGGACATCCTCCTCGAGTCTACCAACTTGGCATCGTCACTCCTCTACTGCGAGCCTTCAGTGCAACGGGTGCAATCTCGGAAGTGAGCAACAGCACAACTGCATGGCTTACCGTGGAGGCTGATGTGCAAACGGTTGGTTTGAAAGATACTTCAGGCGTTGCAGAAGGCTTGTGGGTTGCAGCGAGCCTGTCATTGATGTGTACCATTTTATTTATGTCCATGTGGCGTTTGATACTGAGTTATCAGGCAGCTCCTAGTGGGGAGGACGGACATTGTTGGCTTTGCGTTACTGGTTGCTGTTGGTGGGGAATAGTTCTTCCAGTATTCTACTTCCTTTGGCATACGGGCTCAGAGATCCCGCAGCTGTGACGACCATCCTGGTCTTAGCCATTATTATATTGTTTGGCTGCACCCTCTTCCTGTTGTGGCTCTCACCTAGCCCTTGGTGCTTCATTTGCCTTTGTTTGGCGCATGGGTCGCATTCCATATGGATGAAGACGGTATCAAAGATCTACGAGAGGCTCATCTAAAGTACTACTACAAGCAAAGCTTGCGCTTTGTGGAGGACGGTATCGATAGATTCAATGCACTAATGCACTGTGTTCCCTGTTCATAGTGCTTTGAGTTGTTTGTAAAGCTGCTTCAACATGTTCATTTTTGGCAGACATGTATGATTCTTTCATGCAGGACATTCCAGAGGTTATTGTTGCTGCAATTGACCTCGTCCATTTTGGGGGAAGCTATTTTGCAGCCTTCGACATTGCCTCGTCTGTCATTTGCATACTCACGTGCATCTTGTAGTTGTTTGTATCAGGTGGAGCTACCGTGCTGCCGTTGTCACTGGTCGAGCCACTGCTAGAACTTTTTCTGATCTGAATGATCTTGCCAAATCCTTCGGCAAAATCCAGCTTGATAAGGAATAAGATACTTATGACTCATGGCCTATGCCAAAGTCCTGAAGGGAAGTGCTGGGCACCGACCAACAGGTTTCACCGACCAAGCATTGGATCCCACAGCGAAGAGAGAAAGGCCACGAAGGAGCCTGGGCTTCGGAGCCAAATGAAGCCCGGGGTTTGCAACGACATGAGCTGTTCAACTCGCTCTTATTGCAGAGTTCGGAAGGGTAGAGAGGTTGCCAAAAAGACAACTGGACGGACACATTGTGATATTAATTGAACCTACAGATATGAATTCAACAGATTGATAACCCCCAGGCATCATTTTAAGGTTGGAAACCCTAGATGTAGCATGCCGGAGTGGTAGTCAAATGGTACTTGTGACCTGTATGTTCCTAGTCATTCAGCTGTGGTTTGCAACATTGTGCCAGATGCGATGAACATTGCGTTCGTGTTGAGTCGGTTCATGTCGGTTCTCTTGTCATGTGCCAGAGATTGGTTGACCTGGCTTTTCATAAAAACATCAAGAGTTTTTCATGTTGAGACGGCCTACTTCACAGGGTCAGCACACGTCGCGGACCGCATTCTTGAACAGAAGTGATGAAGGAAAGGCTTCAGGCTTTCAGCCTTGGACTCTTCTTTGCCCAACCGTTTGCAGCGGAGGTTAGAAAGACATCAGGGACGCCAACTTGAAGGGGTGGGGCTCGCCAGCCTTTACATAGCCCTTGATGAAGACATATGAAACAGGGTTTGCTCTTTTGAGATCGGAACATTCTTCCTGCGGGCAGGACCAGGGACTTGCATAAAGCTTATGATTATTTACTGTAGCTTGTTAATCAGTTTTGGCGCACCGCATGCCCATACACATAGCCGACATGATCTTCGCATACTTGGTAGTCCAACATGCTTTTCGCAAATCTCATTGATGTTGATCAGTGTTGTATGATGGATTCCTTGGATTTTGCAACCTGATGATTTGCTATTTGATAGGGTGTCTTCAGACGACTCTGATACCGTGGGACAAGAGTTCTAAACATATCAATGATTTGAGATGATGGCCGCAGTTTACGAGATGAATATAGATGAATCGGATGCTGTTGGACCTTCCTAAACAACCGCAACAACTGATGGACATGTCGCACAATAGGGAGGCATGGGGAGACCCATGAGATTTATATAGACTTATTCCAGAAAGTTGAGCAAGCGAAAAACAAAACAAACACCAGGACTTCCTTTCCAAGTAGCTACAGTGTGTTCATCAAGTTCTTTGTTTCCATTTGGATGTCAAGCCTTTGGTTTAAGCACAATTTTATTTGCGCCCTCAGACGTGCCACAGTGTCACATAGCGTTGCATCGAAGAGCATTGCCAGCGCACCTGCAATCAGGGTCAGGGGACCAACGGATGCACACGCCCAAGTTGGTCAACTTGTATATTGACCCTAGGGATACACACACCTTCTCAGAAGGTACTTGGGCCCTCCAAGCCTCATAAATAGTATCCAATCACCTTCTGAGAAGGTACTTGGATCCCTAGGGTGAAGCTATGCCCCGAGATCCAACCATTTGCCCAACACCCAACCCATAGTTTCTTGGTCAATCTGTTCACTCGGCCGACCTCTGTGGCTGTTTGGATTGACAGCTCTACGCCTTACGGTCCCTTGTCCATCCGATCGAACTGATCCATGATGCTGGGAAGCCTCTTGGTCGGAGCCTCAGACATGAGGGTCAACTTGAAAGGATAGTACTGTAGACAGTAGACATCACAGACCTTGGCATTCCAATAGGGTCAGCATCAAGAGTAGCCGCAAATTTCTGAAGTCTACAGTGGAGAGTTGTCATTAGATGATTTAGATTTTGGGGTAATGAATCCCAGAGCAAAGAGCTGAAATAAAGATAGCATGCATTTTAGTGGTGTGCCTGAACAAGCCAGCTTCGCAATCCTTCAGATATTCCAGCCTCGAGGATCAGACAGGCTGCCCCTGAAAAGGACCGAGAAATACAACGTCCGGATGTCTAAAGCGGCTTCTGATTCTATCATTAAGCTTCTTTAGGACGTCCGTCCGACATGGTGGAAAGGGCCGAGCGTTTGGATCCACTTCATGTCTTAGAGACAGATTGTTCCATCAGATTAGATGAGCATCCATTGGGTTTGTCCTATAACCTGTAACAGCCGGTATCCAATTCATTTCACAAACAATTCAAAGGTGAAAAAATGAGCTCTGTGGATCCACGATCCCGTCGCGAAGAAGCACTCGGCGGTGAAAAAACAGCCTGTGACGAAGACAGTTGCAAACAAGGATTGCAATAAGAGGTTAAAAACACACTGTTGTGATTGTTGTGTTATTGCTATTCTTATGAAGACCTTGGCCAATTTGTTATTGATATCAGTGTCTGTTGGAGAACACCCAAAAACAAGCCGCAACAAGCCGCAGCTGGCTGCGAAGTAGCTCCACTTGGCTGCTGAGGTGCTTGCCTTTGGCATCACCAGCCATGCCACGTCGACCGAGACCTGCAGTGTGCCAGGCTCCTGTCCCAGCAGGACCGGTTTTTACTATGACATGATGTTCTGAAGAAAACAGCTTTCTGGAGCCAGCACATCCTGGCATTTGACCTGTCAAACCTGTCAAGAATAGCTTTCTGGAGCTTTCTGAAGAAAAGGCAGCTAACGCAGTTTCTATTTTCTTCTCATCCACTGCGGTTTTGACTAAGCCAAAGTTGGAATCAGTGGCGGAAAGGGACAAAGATGTGTGCAGCAAGAATCTCTTGCCATGTGCTGCCACCAGTGATGCCATTGTATACCCACCAGCCAGTGTGACTACAATTTTTTTGATTGAGCTGTATTGCGGTACTGGCATGACGTCGAGGCGGTCTTCCATTTGGTGTCCCGCCTTGAATTGGGAAGACATAACATCAAGTGGTACTCAAGTGTCCCAAATCAAAAATAAAGTTGGTGCATGCTACAAGATTTGAACTTTTGTGCCAAAGAATCAAACACAATGCTAAATAGTATATATAGATACTATATACAGTACATGACATGACCAACCAATGTAATCCAATGTTTTCATCTCGTTTTGCGGACAAAGTGATCCTGGGCAATCGAGGAGTGCCGGATCCCTCTTCATCCAAAAGCAGACGAAGTGCCTCGGATTGGAGATGAAACCACCGTGTGTGCGAGACCGCCAAGCAGTTGTGGTCTGGGTGAAAAGACCTGGTTTGGATGTTGCTCAAGACTCAAACACATATGAGGCGTGTCTTTTTTTCCCGCACCCAGAAATAGAGGTGTCGTTGATTTTCCTCCCTGGGATAGGATGAAAGGGCGTCGATAAGTTTTGGGCCAAGGAATTTGTCACAGTTAAGTAGTTAAGCATGCTAAGCGCATGCTATTCATTTTTGCTTGGAGGCCATCGCTTCTAGGTTGAAGGCCATTGCTATTAGAAACGATTCTTAGTCAAGACCTGCCTTTGCACGACTTGGGCGGAGTCGTGTTCCAGTCGATCCTTGCGGTTGCTATTCACCTGCGATCACATTCGAAAAACCTCAAAGTGCACATCGATGGGCCTATGATGGTCTATGGGTCAAAGTCCAAGATCCAGACGGGACAGAGACGTTTCGGGAAACCCAAGTATATATCCCCATTTGGATTCTTTCATATGGTAATAGATGTCAGTTGATTTTACGGTCATAGATTTTATCGTTATTGGTCATCGCACGGTCGCATCGCACCACAAGGCCCACGAAGAGCGGAGGCTTGACGGAGCTGGAATTGGCCACGTCCAAAGTGCCCACGTGCCCGGAAACGCTTGAGACTTGGACAGGATCGACCGAATTGGGTTCAATGGGGTTCCGCAAAAAAAACAGTTCGACGATGTTCAAGCTGTTCTCCCCAGCTGGATTTTTGGCTGAAATCTCGACCACCATGTGAGATTTTTATAGATTTTTAGCCAAGAGTTGTAGAGATATAGATACACCCTAAAAGCTATGGGTTTGTTTCGAATCATGGAAACCCCAGCCAATGGGTGTACTGTACATATGGGTTGATGGTTTGTGTTCCTTTTCTCCACATGTCCGGTTGAGGTGACTCCGCGTTGTATATATATATATTGCATTATTGTCATTACAGCCATGCTTGTTTGGAGTCGCTGGAAGGATTTTATCTAGCAAAAGTGCCTTCCATTTGCATGCAGTAAAATAAGGTCATGTTCCTCTTGTGCTGGTGTTTGCATGTGACACAGGTCACTATTTTTGCCTGAAATTGAAATGTTGACACAATTATATATTGTCAAGTCGTTCGTTTGCAGAACCACAAGTAGTCGTCCGGTCCCTCACATTCCTTTCAACATGAAGTTCGAAGTTTGGATCCCAGGTCAGCCTGCATCACAACATGAGGGGTCTTTGGGCCAGACCGGTCTGGAGAGGGAAGTGGGAAGCGATCAAACACTTGAGGAATCGGTTCAATCGTGTCAGCACCGGCGATCAAACACTTGTAGCTGAGATAGCTGCTGCATGTCATATGTTACAGTTTGACGTGTGAAGAAGAAGGACAGGCTCATGAGTTATTGAACTTGGTCAGTGGATCCAGTGGTGCAAGAGGCGTTAGATCAGTGGATCATGGACGAGAAGGGTCATATTAGCATGGCCAACCACCGATGAGTTGGCGAAAAAGTGGCTCAATTGGTGCATGCACATAATGTGTTTTATCAGGAGGGTCAACAACAGACTATGGAATGGAATGCCCTAATACATTGCACATGATTCTATCTTCTTGAACCTTAACTTCTTGACCAACACCTCGCAATAGCATTGTATATTCATGGAGTGGAAGCCAGGCTTCCGCTAGATGCTGTTGTGATTCTTGCTGCACCTTGCAAATCTCTCAGACTCCAAATGTTTCAAGACTGTTGGTTTGCGAGTGGTAAACCAGAGAGCCACAAGGTGAAACACCTGCGCAATTGCACAAGCTCTGGTCGCAAGGCAGCTGCTACTGTCAGCTGCGTTGGACGCGTTGGACGAAAGGGGAAACCTGTTTTGCTTTCTTCCGCTTCGCCTTGCAAGGATGGGACGAGCTTCGGGAAGGCGCGAGGGGCTGCGGCGGAACGGCACGGCGCTTGGGCGGTTCATCAGTGGACAGTTGACTTGATCCCATACCTCTGACGAACACATCACATGGAAGTGGAACATTGTTTCTTGGAAGTCTACTTTCCTTTACAAACAGGGGCTTTTCCACTTCCATGTGATGTGTTCGTCGGAGTGTGTACTACCTTAACTCTCCTTCCTTGCTTTCATCACACCACCAGTCAGGAGTGAGGATTGATTGACCTGAGATCGAGATGGGCTCCCCCCATAGCTGGCTCTGCCTCTGGTATGGATCATGATTCCAAGGTCTTAAAGCGTATAGACCTATACTGACCCAGACACTTCTTGGGACTGGCAGATTTATCAAAATACATTGGGGTGGCTGAAAAGGGGCCTGGCTGAAAGCCTGGTCCCCATGGTTCCGCATCGGTCCCTATGGGCCACACAGAAGAGTGGCGGTTTGATAACTGTACACCAGTGACTGTGCGCCACAAGGACCAGTACTACCCGGTAGCGAAGACATGAACATCTCAGTTGTTCAGATGATGCTTCGTTCAGGTCGGCTAAAACTACCACATGAACGAGATGACTCTCGGTCGACGGGACGACGTGGAGACCTCGTTCGCACTGCGACGTCGCGAGGTCTCCACCTCTCAAGTGGATGAATGTTCGGGTTTGGCCGCCAGCCGCAAGAACCACGACCTCTACTGGGTACCTGGGCGCGACAGGCCGAGGGGCCCGGAGGCCGGAGGCATGGTGCATCGAATTCCTGTTGTTACTACAGAAGAAGAAGGAATTTCATTGTTTGTAATTATTTGCTTACTGTTCTTTTTTGATGTATATATAGGTTTACTTGGATGTTGTTCAGCTTTTAGCGCGATGAACCCAAGATGCACTTTGAAAGGCTTTGAGCTGCAGCCGCACCTGACGGATGAATTTGAGCTCCTGTTTGGGGGAAGTATGGAAAAGTAAGAGATGAAATGCAAAAAGAAGCAAAACAACATGAACATGTGCTGCCATATTTCGGGAATTGACCCATCAGATTTGGCCAAAACAGGCTTCTGGGGGGTTGGAACAAAAGTGGCCGTCGTCCAATTTGGTGAAAAACCGATGTGAAGCACGTGGGTCAAGTTGGGAGAGGGGCGCATCAAGGGTCCGGTTCGAGAGGCAGATAGCAGCAGCCTTCTATTGTTTCTACTAGCTTCTTGTTACTACTAGTAAGGCACTTGTTACTAGTAGCGATGCACTTGTTACTAGTAGCTGTTGCTTTTGGGATCGCGCGCTTCAAGAATATCCGACTCAGGTGAACAACGACTCGGGAGCAGGTCCTACTTTGCAACTGGGCAGCGCTTCAAAACGGAGTGTGTGTGCACACTTGATGACACCCATCTAAGACCATGTCCAAACTTCAAACACCTCTTTCTTCCTACTCACTCAGAGATAATCCCTGTGGGATGGTCATGATTGTCATATATAATTTAATCTTGTCATATATAATCTTGGACCAGTGTCCCTGACACTGCTCACTTATATGATCCCCATTCCGCTTGCATTGGGGGCAATGACGAGATCAGCGACCCAGGTATGGCATCCGAAAGAACGGCCAGCACGTGGCACGTCTTCGAATAGAGAACGCTGGAAGCAATGACTGGGAAGACATTGCTGTTGGCCCAGGAGACTGGCGTGCTCGTGCGAAGCAGACTTCTCTCGGGACATGACACTTGAAGCAGACAGTCGAACTACGGACTGGTTGCAGCAGGTTTAGAGGGAATGATGCTTTAAAGGCAGCTCGACAAATTTGATGTGTCCAAGGCTCAAGGTTTTTGTGCTCCACAGACAGACACCGGAAAATCATCTTGAGATGCACATCTTATCGGCAAACCTCTTGATGTTCCAAGCATGCCGCGTTGACGGACCAGGACCGAAGAACGGCAAGTCATATATTTACATTGGGGAGTCTTGGCCAAGAGAGGTGAACCCCTTTGCTAAAGGCTGACTGGGAACTCGCCCAGTGGATGAGGGTCTATAGTATTGCGGAGGAGAAACCTAGAAATCTGAGAGTGGGTGGGTCCAGTGCTCATCAGCACACTGTTTCTTACTGATTTTGCTTCAAATTTGTCGCATGTGCGTCTATCCACATTGATGCACTTATAGAAGACATTCCACACACGATTCCATATATAATACATTCCACACACGATTCCATATATATAATATATACATAATATATATATATATATTAACTTCCAAACTGCTTTCACATGCTCTGGTGGAAAACGCTGGAGACCGGTGCTGGTCCCAGGATGTGCGACACTGATGGACCGGTTGTTTTCGTTTGACATTGGCTGGTGGGATTTGGAGTTCACTTCTTCATTTTGTTGCTGGCTTTGACAGCTTGTTTGCTCCAAACCAAAGGATTTCCTGTCCACGTTTGACATGTCGCAACAAGTTTTGACAGTATATACTCAGTATATCTCAGTATGTGTTTTATGATGTTTTACGTGGTTGTCATGGTTTTTGGTACATTAAGGTTTCGCAGAACACATGCATGGATACATAAAGGGTTGCTTGTCGATGCCTGCGTTTCGGCACCGGAGTCATGGACCGGTCCCCACGCACCGCACCGGGCGTCCACCGGGACCTCGCTGTTTGGGACGACCCAACGCTTCACGGAAGAGATATGACAGGTGAAGAGGTGAAGGAGATCCAGGCAGGTCTCCATGCAGCTGAGAGAAATTGAAAGACTCTGCAAGTCTCTCAGGATGTCTCTCCAGATGTCCAAGTCTTGCGCAGACTTGGACTTACACTCTGAAAAACTGCCCCTTCGCCAGAGCACATCATAGCAGAAGTGGAGAATTCTCATAATTTCAGGTTGGTTCCCTTTCCACATCCATGCCCTTTCACCCCCTTGTCATACTAATAATCCGTCCTTCCAGCTACCTCAAGAGCTCTAATATATAATGGGTTAGCAGGATCCCATCGGGTTTTCCTCTGAGTCTTTCTTGGGGGTTGGTTTACTGGAAGACTGGAAGGGATCTCGTCACGATCCACCGGGATCCACTTTTCACCTGAGGATTTCGGCGACAATGGCCGTCACCGCGGGACGGTGCAAATCTATCGCGTCGAAGAGCCTGTGGTGGAAGGTTGGCGTGACCGCAATGATGACATCAGGCGGGTCTGGACCCGCCAGCGTCGTGTGGGCAGGGGACCCTGCTGGGCAGGGAGAGGGCGCCATCGAGATACGCTGGGCCCAGTGTCTAGACGTTGTCTTTGGACCAGAGATCCGATTGCCAGGAGGAATCTCAGACAGCGGGGGTTCCGGAGACGTCAGCCACGGCCGAGTCACTAGATCGAGCTCTATCCACCATAATGTTCAGGTGTCAACTCTTTTGGGGATCCAAGACGCACTACATAACATAGTATCCCAGTATTTACAGAACCACACACCTTTTGTGGAAAGCTACGAATATTTAGCTCTCCTCGCCCCTTCGAAGTCAAGTCAGACGTCGTGTCATACGTCCCGTGGTTCCACGACAGGCTCCGTGCGACCCGTTTCGATGTCACCTATCCCAACGGCAAGAAATATGACTGCGAGGCGTTGAAAACCACTCGGTGGAAACAGGGGACGCGGATCCAAGACGGGGGACAACCGGTTGAAAAGTCGTTGAACCCGTGGAACCGGGTTCCGAAGAAAAGGCTAAAGTCTCAAAGAGAAGCATAGAATGCAATAAATTTGGGTGTGGTTGGGACCCGGAGATTAACAAAGGTGAATATTGGTTTGAATATGTTTGAAATCGTTGGTCGCTATGGATATTTTGGATGGAACTCTCGCATCGACAGGATTGGGAGAGATAGGGCAGTTTGGCCATAGAATCTCCAAATCCAAAACCACTAAACCCCACCCCGCCGCACTAGGCCAGAAGTTGATGTGTACATCCGCAAGATCAACCGAGCCAGCCATTTCCGGCCAAAGCATTCCCATTTCTGAAGCAATGAAGCCACAACACTCTGTAGACTCCCCACCTAAAGCCTTCTGTTTGCTTCTTAAGGCAAAGCACCTTCGCTCGACCAGCTCGTCCCCTTCGTGTTTCGCTCGTCGCCCGCGTCGTGCGCGTCCCATTCATCTGACTCTTCGATCATCGACCAGGCCATGTTCATCGACCAGGGCAAGGGCGCCCAAAAAGCGGGCACCGAAGGCCGTGTGTACATCATCACCAAGGCCGGGGCCTGGAGAACATCGTGTATGACGAGCAAGATCGATCTTAGCCGGACTGGTGGTTGCAATCACATGTTGGAGGGTTCAGGTATGGTTTCGTAGTTGGTGGGTTCAGGTTGAACTTCACAGACCAGACATTGATCAGACTGTGACTTTGCAGCCAATATCAACCAGTTCAATGGCTAGAAGGTCACCTGCTAGCGTAATGTCCCACAACTGAGCCAAGCAACTGCCCAAGGGTTAGTAGCCCCTAACCTCACAGATTAGGGTGATCACGATGATGTGGCAGATGAAAAAGACCGGACATTTGGTGCCACATCGTGTAGGACGTGCGGATGTCGTCCGGAATCGTCCGGACGTCATTCATCTCGAGACTCGAGTCCGAGACGAGGATGTTCGGAGATGTTCGGAAACGAGTGAGTATATCACAAAAGAGATGGGATATGCATATACTCCGATAATTGTAATGATATATTACAATCCTTTTTTCAGATACCATAGTCTGAAATACAATGATATTATCCTATAGACTCAGTGTTAAGACCACATCTCATTGTTGTGCACATACTTCTTCACTCTCACAGTCCAAAACGACCCATTTTCCCTGACTCTCCAACATCAGCAAATTCTTCCACCGCAGGGTGACAACCGGAATGGCGACCCACAATGGCGTGGCTCGGCTTGGTGTTCTGAAGGCTTGTTGCAGAGTAAAAAATAGATACCTGCAGACACCCATGATTTTTGAGGAATCACAGCGTACAAACGTAACATGTCCATGTTGAGAAATTACGTGGAATGGGAGCAGACCAGCGAATTGCACAGAAGCCAGTTCCTCGTGTGCTTCAACCTCCGGAGAACTAGAAGGTATTTTCCTGATTGAGTCCGACATTGGACTCTGAACACAGACACTTTCTTGTCGGTTTGGGGCATGGTCCACCTCACCCTTCCCCAAAGCTTCAACATTGGAAAGTAAGTGAGCATGGTCTTTGCAGTGGTTCACAGGGGAGGATGCACCGACTCTGCCAGCTTTGCCAGCAACCTCCACCCAGCAGCAACTCGGTGAGTCCCAGGTGGAGGCGACTTGTTCTACGTGGACTTGCCAGAACAGTCCGGCTGGCACAACTGGCAGGCGCCTGCCAGGGCTTATTTGCCTGGTGATGTCTTGGGCAGAGGATGATGATGTGTCAGATTGGATGACATGAAGATGGACTGCTTCCAGTTTGGGAAAGAAGGCAGTAGTCCATGACCACTGCCCACAGAAATGCTGCAGCAGAAGTTCAATGAAGCTCTGGTGATTCCTATTCCCAATGAATTTCTGATGCGGCGGGTGTCTTTTTAGCTCAGGATGGTCAACTCCCTCGTTCATGTTACCTTCTAGGCTCTTGACTTCTCACCTTGAAGGAACTTCGGACTTTCGCTCAAGTTTAAACGCAGACCTACTGTTGACAGACAGTCTACCCCACACTTGTCGCCTCCAGCCTCCGCCTCTCTTGAAGCTCATGGCAAATAACCACAGATCTACCACGTTCGTAGACGAAGTCTTTCCGTCCAGTGGATTCTGTCGAACTCCATCAGCTGAATCAGCTTCTCCATCACTCCAACGGTGTGCCGCGTCGCCACCCAGGCGACGAACGTGCGCCTCAGCGTGGTCCTGGCCACGGGCGCTGACATGACGCCACGCGGAAGCCTCATTGCCGTGAGGACCGGACGTCCCAAATGGCGCTCTTCAGCGGTATGATGCGGTGGGTGGAGGAGGGGAGAAATTCCGCCAAAGTGAAACTGGTGTTGTAGATGTCTGATGATGTTTGTAGTGCAGGTGTTGCTTTGGACCATGTCCTGAGTACAGGTGTTTGACTGACAGGATGATCAATGTTGACGTGTTTGAGGGAAAATTAGAGGACATGGATGTTTGATGCTTTCTGAAATGTTGGTCTCCTCAAACGACTTGCATAGAATCTGATAGATCATTTTGTTTGTTTTTCCTCCATGCTTCATTGCTTCAGGGTGGCAGCATTTTGCTGGACATTGACGCGTGTTTGCTCGCAAAACTTGCACCTAATAAACTTATAAATGTAAAACTAGTCAGTCTTTACAGCTTTATGTTACCTTACTACAACAACCGGTAGAATAAGTGTATTTGCAAGTCCCCCATCCCTTGCCATGCGGTGTCCAAGCGGATTTTCTCGCCGCACGAGCCGAGATCTCGTTCCTTTGATCTGCAGAGATCGAGTAGACTCCTCAGATCGACGCAAGTTGCAAAGAGCAAAGGGCATCGCTACTGGGAGCAAGAACGCTACTAGGGGCGTACTACTAGGAACTAAGGACGCTATTAGAAACAAGAATTAGAGTTAAAAAGTAGAATTAGTATTCAATTTGTAATTTGAATTATATATTAAGTTACATTTGTAATTTGTAATTTGAATTATTATATATTATTTATTAAGTTATATAATAAGTTAAATAGAATTAATTAGAAGCTACTAGGACCCGTTTCAGATCCAGGGAGTTGACTTCTTCCGGATCTTCATCTCCGAACCAAGGGAGGTCTCCGAACATGTCGACGCATCGACATAGCGCGTCGACATGGCACAGGACCTATGGTGAGATCATGATGTGGCCCAGACCTTGCGAGTGGACTGTGGAGGAACAACGGTTTTTGGGAACGATCGTTCGAACGTTGGACAGATTGATTGCTTGCATGAATGTTCCCGTCCCGGGGGAGCATGAATTTACACCTGACCTGAAGCAGTTAGAGATACTATTGGAAGAGTTTTTAGTATTTTTTAGTCAATTTTTTCGGGGTCTTGGTCTTGATACCCATGTGACCGTTCGGGGAGATGAGGAACTCATTTTAGCTGAGCAATTTTTTTTCGGACAACATCAGTACACCTGTCCGCTGGAAGGGGCCGATTAGATTCCCTGCACGACAGATGACCTCCGAATCCGACAAAGCAACCCTGGATATGGCAGTGAGGGCCCAACTAAGTATATTTGTATATAAATTAGCCCAGAGTCCAAATGACTCATTTTACTGCTGGAGTAGTGGTGGATTATGACTGCTATAGGTGGTGTAAAGTGAGTCATTGGAAGTTCAGGGTTAGGCGGCCTTCACATCGTTTGAGCGGTCTCCACCACCCAGACACTTCAATAATATATTTAAATTTGCATATATTTTGTCTACATTGGGGTGGCTTCAGAGGCCAATGTAGGCAAGTTAACATAGTTTAATCATATTATATATATATACATACATACATATGCCATACATTGCCATACTATGGCATAACATGGAGTGTTCGGGGCCATGACGTCGCCGAACATGCCCAACATCGCTCCAAACGTCCGCCCATGGGCACCAGGCCGCGTGGCCGTCTCACGGGAAGCGCCTCGTCAGGAAGCGCTGAGCAAAGGCCCTTGTGGCGTGAAGAGCAAGAACGAGCGCCAAGGTGAAGCCATTGCCTTCGGCAAGGCCGATGCCGGATTTGGGGATCTGGGATGATCAGGGATCGCTTTCACCTGCGGTTTTGGGGATCTGTTGGTTGGCAGCGGCAGGTTTGATGCTTACAGCAGAGCGGTCCTTCCTGAGCAAATAGAACAAGACTTTTGGATGTCCTGACTAATGACTCAATGAATGACCAGGGCCTGTCAGAAGACAAGTTGATGAAGGCAAATTATTCTTTGGAGGCCTTAGAATGCGACTCCTTGTCACTGAAATCTCATTCCGATTCCTCCTCAAGAATATTCAAAAATGCTTGCTTTCCCAAAGATTCTAAGGCCCTCTGAGAAGTCTTCCTTGTATTCATGTCAGGACCTTCTTACAAACTGCCCTTGGCTCAACATCTTTTGATCTTACACTTGCTTGCGGACATGCGCATCGGAAGCCTTCGCAGGATGGCAAGCACTATATCACCGTCAGCGAAGGTTTCTGGACGGTGTAGAAAACGGTGCGTTGATCGTCGCTACCCACTTCATCTATAATGACATCGTTTGGGGAGTTCGAAGTAGAATTGAGTTATATAGCTGTTGAAGAAACATTTTAAAAATAATGGTCTTTTTGAATCCATTTCACACGTTGCCAATGCCAATCCATGTTTTTCTTTTGCTTCTGACCGTTGGTCCACTGGTTCACCGCTCGGATGCATCCGAGCCCACCGGGGCGGCGTGGGGCTCTGTGCGGCGCTGGACGATGTTTGAGGTAAGTACCCCAGCGTGTGGTTCTTCGGCATGACACAAAGTGCCTTGGTTTTTACGAAAAACGTGGGCTGTTGAAGGGATTGCGATGCTTTTCACACGCTTTCGTTGTTTTTCCTTTGTTTGGGGGGGGATCGAGAGGAAGAGGTTGTAGCCGGTGGCTGCTTGTGATTCGAGTATGGCACACGAGTCTGGAGGAATCCCCTAGTGTACTCACCTGTCCAAGTTCTTCCAGGAAGGACTCTTCCAACCGAGCGGACACTCCTCCGAGCGTTGTTCTTTGCACCAAGGATTCCAGGACCGGATGATGCACATGGCCATGGAGGAGGCCCAAAACATGGCCGAAGCTGGTGCGGTCAAGGAGATCGCCCGAGGAGCCCCAGCCCTGAGACTCCTGTGGCCGAGAGGTCTTTTTTTGGAGTCGTTGCCGGCGAAATGGTAGGGACCGGTGGATGGTGCGAGGCTGAGAATCATCAAATGAGCGTGGCAGAGGACAGATGTTTGGTTGGAAGTGATATAACTGCGGGTCATGTCCCCGGGAGACCTTGGTTGAGCAGCGAAAATGCAAAGACTGGAGCCAAAACGCGGGTTTGGGGCTCCAGATTTGGATCCGCAGCCGCACATGGATGCGGTCTTAGGATGTAGGATACAAACATAACATATCCACGTGTACCGGTTGGGCGAGCACTCAACCACTAGCCGCACAAAGAATTGAAGTATGGAATGCTTACAGATCTTACAGAAGCAGCGCCTTCAGTGGATTCAGGAGTTGCTTCATCCATGCATGATGCACATTGTGGGACCTTTTTGCTTCAGATGGGTCAGGCACATGAACATCCATAAAATCATATAAAATCAAGGATCTGTTTCAGCCGTCCTTTAGAAATAACAGGAAGCTAGTAGTAACAGGTGCCACGCTAGTAGTAACAGGGGCCTTACTAGTAGTAACAAGAAGCTAGAAAGTGTCTGATGGATCCGGACGCCGAACCACCTTTCATCCCGGCCGAATCAGTCGACAGTACTGCTGTGCGCATGTGTTTTTGCGCTCTGCAAAGAGGGCCCTGGAGGCCATACAAAAAAGGGCATGGAATTTGAGATGGGCAGGCAGTGCCGAATTTGTCACAGCCCAAGCGGCACTTTGGTTTGTGCCTTGAGGAGCCACCACGATGTTTGGGAAACCTGACGATGCCATTTGCCATTCTTGCCCTTTCTTGAAGGAGATACACGACCCCAAACAGCCCTAGGGAACCCTTGAGATCCCCAAAGTTTGTTTAGTTTGACTTCTTGAGTGTTTGGAGAGGTCCATTGCACGGTCCATCCTCAAATCTTCAAACGCCGTTGGGCTGTGTGGTGTCGCTCCCTGCCCCAGTCCGCATGGTTCACCTTTGACCTTCTGCGCGCCTTGCAGGGCTCCAATGAACGCTTCGGCGAACCTGTGCAATTCAACGCTAGTTCTTAGCCGGTCCGGAAATGTCCGGAAGGTGGAAGAAATGGCTGAACATCCGCGACCATCCGCGACCTAGCCGTCAGACGATGGTTGCACCATGGCCAGGCTGCCAGGCGACCGAATGAACCAAAAAGTCACTAAGACCTGGTGATGCCTATACAGTAGAACATGGATCAGGTGAGGACGGTGGTTGGAGAGTTGGTGAGTAATTACTTCGAATTGGTGAGTTGTTTTGCTTCCGGACAACAATCCTACCATGTTTCTTGTCGGATTTCATGCAGCATAGAGTGCAGTCAGCCTCCTTTGGATGGAGCCAGAGCTGGATGCGAGCCTCATTGATGGGATCATCAGAAGAATGCAGGTAGAAAGTAGGCAATATCTATTGCAGTTTAAGTTTAGGAACATACTTGATTGACTTGGGCAGCAACATGTTTTCACAATCTTTGTCATAAAGGGTCCACATCTTTCATACTACTACACTGGGGCCCTGAGGCTACGCAGGGAAATCTGAATTTACTGCCTAGTCGCTTCAACTCATTTCATTAAATGTGGAATCTATCTCACGGATGCACCTCAGTCTCACTTTGGGTCTTAACCTCCTTTACACTGCTTGAATATGCTTGAAGGATGGTCCACACTACCCTCATTCCACCTGACGCTGCGTCACATGTCCTGTCTTAGCCGAGCCCAGAGCCCTGTTGGATGCGTGGACATTCCTGTACAGTGTTTCCGCCCATCAAAGGACGATCGACCGGCATCCGTTGGTCCCTCATGTTTTGAAGTATAGAACCATATGCACAAGTATTTGTTCCTGGAGTAAACTCGGTGACTTCAGTTGGTTGTGAGGTTCATGAGGTGTTCTATCCTGTGGCATCCGATATAAAGGCTTATTCTCAGTTTTTTCTCTTTACTTTGATAAATTGTTTTCCTGCCAAACTCTTTCAAACACTGACAGAGCATGATCTTGCTGAGCCGGAGGGAGTATTTGTTTCGGTTGGTTTCCTATCCCTGTGGCTATCAGTTTCCACCTAGCTTCGGGACATGGTCTTAATGGACATGTCTTGGACCATCCCATTCCCGACACCACAAATGTGCCGTGCCGTGCCTCGCACCGACTTCCAAACAAAAAACGAAACCTTCACGTGTTGGAAAGGCCCTGCCCTGCCGTGCCGGGAAAACGGTGTCTTTTGTATTCCGCACATGAAACTGCCAGAGGATCTTCTTGCAGGATACTAGACCATTATGGCCTGTATTGGCGAGCCGCGGCGAGCCACGGAGCCACGGGTGGGCCACCGGTCTGTTCGGCCCACGCCTCCCCTATTCGGACCGGTGAAACACCCAAAGCCACTGCGTTGTGGAGGAGAATGGTCGAAACCATGGTTCAATTCTCAGGTTCCATGTTAGTTTGCGGTGGGGTAGTCTGAAGCCTTTTTCTATGCCATCGGCCCATAAGACATGACTCAGTCGCGTCGCCCCTTTTTGTGGCTTGAAGATGTCCGAGGGAATCCCACGGGCATGAACGCCGACGCTAATGGTTGACCGACCAGGAAATCCACGGGTTGATGATTGTTACCTTGAATTGGCTTGGCAAAGTTGGTTTGTAACATCTCATCAACGGACCTCGAACCACTTGGTACCAACGGTTGCTGCCGCTTGGCAATGATCCATGCAGGCTATAGCAGAGGGCCGTCACTTTGGATCCGATATGACATCAGAAAAACACACGGATAGGGAGGTCTGGTAGTTGTGGGAGGGAACCCTCCACCAAATTGTTTGCTAATGTCAATCAGGGTCCAGTCCAATCGCGATGTTTTCGCATGTTTTCGCAATCGAAGACCCCCAAATGAAAGGGAGGGTTGAATCCCCAGGTGGGTTCTTTCCTTCAAAAGGGTTCAGAAGTGGCTTTCGACCCACTTCCAAAGCAGTTCAAGATTGCTCAGGCTATGAATGAGCATCCATCCGTGCCGGAACTCAAAACTGTTGTTTGATCAAGATAGCGAAACCCTCCAAAACTCAGAGGTCATCCATTAGCCCTGTATCATGGAAAATGGATGCAAAGGGTGCACTGAATATACTATAATGATCTATAATGTATACCGCACACCTGTCAACGTGGCGTTTCCGCCCCATGACTTTCCACCCATCCAACGACCCACCGCACGGTGTTTCAGAGGATCGAACTGAATCGAACTCGGCATGACCTGTCAACGTGGACCCTCTCCGACGGCACGGTGATGGCACTAGTCGGAACGGTGATCAACCTGACGGAACTTGTCCATTCCGGGCCCATAGAGAGAGCGGTTTTCTTTGTGCGAAGCAGAAAGAATGCTATAGAGATCTATACTGATGTGTACAGTATACAGCATATATACTTAGTACATCCTAGTACTACAGCTTGTTTTCGTTGCTGTTACTGTTGTTGTTTTTGGTGTTTTGCGGCAAAGAGAGGGTCGAGAAGATGATTCTCCTTTACGGTGGGTGCTATGTACGACAAGTCTAGCTGCAAAGTAGAGTGGTTCAGCTTCACAGGGTATAAAGTTGGCCTAAGGAGATGACTGACCAACCCCCAAAAGACATCCAATATCACTAGTAGACCTTATAGTTACTGCCATTTTCTGTTGGTAGGGGGCCAGGGGGATGTGTACAAGCAGAGTAGCACTTGATAAATTTGATACATAATTTCATGCAAGTTGTTTTTGTTTGTACGAGTGTTGATACATTCTGAATATGAAATGAATCATGCGTCTATGAAAGGCTGCTTTCTGGGCACATCATCCATGTCCGCCCTGAAGGACAGAGTCATGTTGCCACCTCCATGCGCCAATAAGACGCCACATGTGCCAACGTGCCAGTTCGGAAGAGAGACGGCCTTCTTTCAGTTCGGTGTGCCTGGCACAAGAATCTATTTTGAAAGTCTTGTGTGGAAGCTAGAGCAGCTAGAACTTGTCCATGATAAGTTAGAAGAAATAAACACCGAGGCTTTTGCCTATAGTTGCAGGTGAATACGAGCCGGCAAGAGTGATTTTGCATGGCACAAGAGTTCATGCAGCACACAGATTCATAAAAGAGGCACGATGGCCTGACATCAAACTGAAACTGGAAGTTTGTGTCTTCAACGGTCTCTTTGGACTGCCCCCGGCTGGCCGAAGATGGGGCTCCATCCTGTGACAGTTGACAAAACCTCCGGTCTCCTCCGGTCCATTGAGGCCCTCATGAAATCATCCACCAAAGGCACCTCCTTTTCCGGGCAGGCACCTCCTTCCCACCTCTTCCATCCTCTTGCAGGCACCCCTATATAGGCACGGTCACGGTCACCCCGAGATCTCGGCGGAAGTTCTGCCGCGAGGCACCGGGTGCTGCGACTGATGGCCCTGGCCACTGGGGCGCTCAGCGCTACTGGGCTGAGATTCAGAATGCGATCTTCGTCTTGGACATATCTCTTTCCATTAGGTGGCGTTCAAAAATAGTACCAGAAAGAGTACCTCTGGATGGGCCAAAATCGTGTGACATATTCCTCACATGTTCCGCGCCCTTGCTGGAGTGTCTCCCTATTCTGTCTCCAGATGCTTGATGAATAAATCCATACCACACAGAGCACCTTGATGAATATTCCCAGCCACCGGTTTTCTGCTAAATTCCTACTACCAGCGTGGTGTCGGACGTGGTTGCCCGAAATCCTTCAGCACTGTTCAGCACGGCACGCATGTCACACCTGTAACCTTGGGCGCAAAAGGTTCGGTGCATGTGGCATTTTTTGACGAGCCATCCCGGAACCGGTCCCTCCCTTCCCTTTGTGGTGCAGAGAGGAACTTTAGAAGCCCGGAGGAAAGGTGGCCTTGGAATGTCTAGAGTGCTTTCGGGGGGTTCTCAATAGGAGGTTCATTAGTTCCGGGGTATTGCGGTAGTACAGCTCGTGAGCTGGAATACAGTGTACAGGGGTGTTGGAGTCATCATGAGTGATCCATTTTTGCCTAGGTGGTCATTCTGGCCAGCCAAGTGATGCTCTTCCTGGACCTCGATCAAGGGCAGCCCGGTTTGCCCAGTCGGT